ACGGCATGAACAACTATGAGTACCCCCCCCCCCACCCCCCCCGCGGTTTCACGAAGGAAACAAGGCACAAGAACAACACCATGGATCCCAAGGAAAGAGATGTACAAGCGCATGTATGGCACCAACAGCAGTGCCAGTGCGTGCATCTCTTCTTGTCTTCTCTAACTGCCCTCGAGCGCTGGGGCGACGACAACTCAAGAGAGGAAGGACGCACGCCCGTGCAGCAGCACCATAGACGTCGCTTCGCTTTGCCTTGCTTGCTTGCTCGCAGCTGAGGTGAGGAAGAACCTGCCGCTGCTGCGTACTGTACCTCGAAGACGCACACCCGGTAGTACTCCTCCTCCTCCTCCCCTCTGGCCGTGCCCTCGTGGTCCGACGTGTTTGACGGCGATGGTGACTGTACCGGTCTCACGGAGGCATGCTTGATGTGCCGTACGAAGTTGGACACGTTCGCCACGTCTTCGCGCGCGGGGCGGCAAAACAGAGAGGGAGGGAGGGAGAGAGAGAGAGAGAGAGAGAGAGAGAGAGAGAGAGAGAGAGAGAGAGAGGGAGAGAACGTTCCCGGAGACAGACAAAATAGAATGTTACTTGAGATGAAAAAAGAACTTTCTGTGGATGAAAAAAAGCGTTCCCGAGACGAGAAAGAGCGTTCCAGAGACGAACAAAGAACGTGCCAGCAACGCAAAAGAACGTTCCAGAGGTGAACAAGAACGTTCCGGAGGTTCCCCAGACGAAGAACGTTCCCCAGAAACAACAACTTCCCCCAAAACAAAACAAACAGTAGAGCATACCCCAGAAAACAAGTGGGCCCCCCCATCACCACCAACAACAAAAAGACCGTGTCCGAGAAAAAGACCGAGATGTGCACGCGCGCGGGGAACATGGCAGAGTGCTTGTCAGCAAACATGGGCGAAAAAAAATACCGCGTACAAAACTGCCGTACCCTGCCGCCTCGGCACCCTGCCGCTCCACACCGCACCAAACGGCATGCTGGCGAATAGCTTGGGGTGGATAAGGCCTACGCACCAACGTTGAAAAGGTTTGGGCCGATCTCATCATATAACACCGCCATGTAGCCCACCAGAACAATACGGGTATGACCCTTCGTACCAATCTTGCAGAGGTTTCTGAAGTCGTGGCTGCCGACGATCTTAGACGCCGCTTCGTTCATAGCCTTTATGTTCATGTCTCTCGCCATGAAGAAGTACCTTTCCGTGGACACGCCAGCAAAAAAGGAGGGCAAAGAAAGGTACAAACAGTGACCACGGATTGGAGCTACTCGGCACAAAATGCTGTGAGCGCTGGTTTAGAGTGATGGAGGAAAAAACAGGTCATCACAAGGGGGAGAGGGAGAAGTGGACAGAATAAAAAAAAAGAACTTCGTACGAGAGGGTATATTTACAAAAGCTCGACCCCAGTGAAAACGACGAGGGCAGCCAGCTCCTCTGTTTTTGTTCTTGTTTTTGTTGCAGTTGTCTTGACGCTAAGACCTGCTGTTCTGGCCTGCCACCCAGTGCCATCACAATGCCACTCTCACAGATGGAGAAGCCCGTTCCCTGCGCTCACGGCCTAACCCCTACCCCCGAGGACCCAAGCAAGTCTCCTTGCGCGAGCAACATCGTTCCCATCCAGCCAGTCAACAAGAACCCGTCCCCAAACAAACAAGATCGTTTTCCAGTGCTGACGGTTGGTTGTCCAGCCCCGACTTCGCGAAAAGAGGCTAACACTTCGAGCATGGTGAAGCAACGACAGCAATCTAAGCTCCAAATCGGGAAGCTTTTGTTCGGGATACGCTTCAGGGTATTGTCGACGGGGCCTCCTGGGGTTCCGCGGATAATATGGGTATGATGGACATGACGCGCGGGGCCCCTCTTGCCTCCTGCATGTGTGGCACTCGTTCATGATGCAAGGTCTTGAAGTCAACCTTCTTTTTCTTTCAGCCCGAGGCGAAGCTGCCGCGCCCAAACAGCTCGCGATAGATACATCGTAGACACGGAGTACACCCACGACGGCTCTCACCTGTACGTCCTGTCGGAACAGCTGAACCTAGCGCTGAAGCCCTCCGTGACCGGTGCCCACGCCAGCGCGCGGATCCCCGGCGGCAACACCCGGTTGAGAATCCCGCAGTAGTCAATCTCGGTAATCTCTCCTCCAGCCGGAGGACCCCCGCCCCCGCTCCCCCCGCCCATGCGGCTCTTCTTCTTGTGCTTCTTCTTCGTCTTTCCGTTGCCGTTGCCGCCGCCAAGCACCCCCCCCGGCTCGCCCTCGCTTCCCCGTAGCCCCCCCCCGCCGCCGCCGCCGCCGTTCTCGCCTGCTCCGGCGTCGGCTGCACCCGCAACGACGCTGCTACCGCCACCACCAGGAGGGTTTCCACTCGCCACTTCTCCGCGTCCGACCTCTCCTCCTCCAGGCGCCGTACAAGGATCGGAAGCACCGCTAGCTGGATGACGCGAATCAGAAGGGCAACCCTCCGAGCTCTTTCCCTTGGCTAGGCCGCTGCCCTCGTCTGCGCCCCCGGCGGCTGGCTGTTCCTGCTCTGCAGCAGCGCTGCCTTCGGGCATCGTTTGGCTTTCTCTTTTAAAGCCACCGTCGTTTTCTCCAACTGATTTCGCCGCGTTTTGTGGTGGTGCGATCGGGGCTACCCAGAGGGACCCTAGGGGTGACGTAGGGAGGTCGGCGTCGGGCACGTGCTTGGGGAACTTTGACCGCATTGAGACCGTGATGACCTATCATGCCGTTGTTGTTGTTGTCAAGGTTGTTTCCGATCGATCGCAAGCCGTTGGGGGGCACGCAGCCAGCAAAGAAACCAAGAAGGCAAGCGGACGACATCGGCAGACAAGACAGTCAACTGAAGATGAGGAGAGGAGGTCAAGGCAGTGGGACCAACGGAACGTGACAGCCGTAGCGGATGAAACAGCAAAATCAAGCCAACAAAAAACACGAACAACAATAACTCCCCTCCAAGGTAGCACGACCTTACACTTACATCTTCCCAGATAATACCAGCGCCAACACCGGACCCAACCACCACACCAACATAAGCAAGACAAGAGGGACAACACCAACATAAAACGACTAAACCCAACCTTTCTCCGGAGACAGCCCGCTCACGTTTCCAAGAGCGCTGACCCCCCTGTCCGTGCGGCCACAGCGGGAATAGTTGTCCCCCGTGGCGATGCTTTCTACGAGCTTGGTTGTCGTCAGGGCTCGGAACAGATGTTTCTCGATTGTGTCCTCGTTGCCTTCGCTCTGTGGGTGTTGATTGTTTGTTTTGTTCCAGGCGTGGACGTTATACATATATATTTTTTCCGGAATGGCACCATGGCAGCCAAGATGTCGGGAAGGACACGGGGGGTGAGGTGAACGGCATCGATGGGGAAAGGTGGAACAAGGTCGTGTAGAGCAGCAGCAGCAGCAGCAGCAGCAGCAGTAGCAGCAGTGATCGCAAGCCCAGATGAAAAAAAAAAAAGAATGCAACAAACGGATCAATACCATGGTGCTAGGCTTGGCTAATAGCGTTCCGGTTCCACTCGGCTCGGTCGCCATTTTCTCGTGCTCAACAGCATTCGAGAAGATCGTTGCTGTCTTCACCGAAAAAACCGTCCAGGGCTCCGCATGTTGTTGTTGTTGTCTTCACATTAAAAACCATCCCGGTCTCTCTATCCAGTACCTCCTTCTGTCTCAATCTCTCCGTACTAATCCAGCACTTGACTCGGTCAATTTCCGTGGTCACAGGCTAACGTACCTAGAAAAGGTATA